TACTTTATAAATAATGCATTATTTAGTCTGCATCATCTGGTGGTACATTAGCTGGTCGTCGTTTTCTTCGTTCTGTCGCTTATTTATGTGCTAAACAAACAATTCATTTACCAATACTTCTGTCAAATAATGATCATTATGATAGTCCATCAACAGGATTACGAAAAGCAACATCTTATCGTCTTTTACAGTTTGTTTATTAAAAAATTAATGTTTTGTTTTATAAACATGTTTTTATTCTATAGAAGTCCACTAACACCATTACCAATTGTTATTGATCACGTTCCAGAAAAACCTATTGAAGAAAAACCAATTGATATTCCTGTTGAATCTGTATTTATGTGGCAAAAAACAACCAAAAATAAAGATAGTAAGAAAATCGAAGATGATTCATCGAATAAAAAACGATATCGACGACGGTAAATATTAAACACTTGAATAGAATATTAAAAATAGTTTTCTTTTTTCTTCTTTGAAAATCTAGTAAATCACAACGTTGTCTTGATTTATCAACAATTCAAGAAAAAAGTTTTGATTCAGATTCAGTCATAAATCATTCTGTGAATTCTGATGATAAAATTTCATCACAATCAATTTCATCAGGTTCAACACGTCAACCGTTAGGAGAAATTGATATAAATTCTTTTAATAATGAAGAACGACAACAAGCTGAAAATGAAAATAGTAATACAAGTCAACATTCAATGTTATTTTCATTAGTAAGTGGGAATGATAAAGAAAATTTATCAATAACAATTGCAAAACGAACAATAACAACAACAAATATTGAACCACCACGTAAAAAACAGAAGAAAACTAATAGCAAAGTATTAGTACCTGGTCAAAAAATGATTACAAATTTTTTTCAATCAAAAAATTAAATTTTTTCGTATTCTTATCTGTATATACATACATATATATATATATTTACTTCTAATGTCAGATATAGATTTAGATAATTAATCAATTGAATATGTACAGATAAATAGGCAATTTATTTGATTACAACTATTTTGTTAAAAATGAAGAATTGTTTTTTTTTTGTATATCTTTTTTTGATATAGTGATTATGAATATTGTTTTCTTTTTGTTATATTCAAAATAAAAGATTAGTTGAATTTGTATATAAATATAAAGAAATTTCTTTATTTCAGTTCGTTCGACTGATTGAAGAATTTGATGAATGTCATCCAGAAAATCGATTTTGAGGCGGAAAGATTCAAATCGCATGAAATTTTCAGCTCGGTTCAATGATGTTTTCATAACTTATTCGAGAAAAAAAGGCCAAAAACAGCTAATTGGACAACTCAAACTTCTCTGTGAACTCTGATTCTATATTTTTATTGTCCTTTTGTTTGAAATGGCATATCAGGTTGGAGAGCCTGAAAGTGTTCTTTTTCTAAAAGTCTTAATTTTTTTTTGCTTGGACGCTGAAAGTGGCAAATTCAATGCCACAAAAAAGTGTAAAAAAGGACTGGCAATCTTTTCAGATTTTTTTTTGTGGCACTGAACTTGTCACACTCAATATTCAAGGAAAAATTAAGAATGCTAATATGCAGTCTTTTAACACATCAATTCTGATTTATCGTTACTACATAAATACAATTAAATATATTGAGATAGGAATTCATCAATGGAACAAGGTACGTTCGTTTTCGACATGAATACCTAGTTTTCATTACAAAAGAGTGTAACCTTTGTAATGAGACAAGATAATATGAACAGATGTCAGAGATGCTCATTAAGACTGGAAATCTATCGCTGCTGTGATAGTTTTTGAGAAATTCTTCGAAAATTCCTTCCGCCAATGTGCTAAATTGGGACAGTTACATAGAATAATCCATTAGATTCACTGCAAGGACACACAAACCGGATGCAAATCTATGCAATTTCACAATCTCTCTAAAACAGAAGTTGACACCGTCGCAGTGACGATAGCGCTACCATTGACATTTCTGATAGATATAGACAATGCCTATGTGTAAAATGAATTCAATGTTATTTTTTGTATGGATTTCATTTTGACGCTACTTTCTATTCGACCTGTTTTGTCTAAAACATTAATATTGATTGAAAAAACAGTTTTTCAACTATATATGTATTTTATTGAATTCCGAATTTCTTATTCTCAAAATGATCGATTAAATTAATTCAGAAATATCTAGAAGTTTTAAGATTTTCAATCGATGACATAAAAACTATCGCCATTGTTCGATAAACCGCTACCATTCCAACGAATGGTTCGTTGTGAAACGGAATGACCTTTCCACTAGAAGCAAAACAAATAATTAGGTATGAATCAAAGATTAGTCTTTACTATTCTTACTTGATCCCAAACTTGGATTCCGCTTCTGTCTTGACTAATATAGATAGCCGCATGACCCTTATACTTGCCATAAGGAAATGTAGCAATAGCTGTACCTGATGCAATATTAGATCCACGAACCTATAGAGATAGAATTTTGTTAAATATTCTAAATTCACATAACTTAACTGTCGTACTCACTTTTGCACCACGTCCCCATTGGTCAGTTTTTCGGCGATCACCAGTACAAATTCTAGATTAGAAAACATAGTAGAAAAAAAGAACAACTCATAGAGCTATACTAACTTCACAAAGCTCACACATTCACCATGCAAACCACCTAAAATAGTTTCATGAATACATCGAACAACCCATGTCAAAATTAACTTACCGAAATGATCGCAAACAGATTGACCTGCATATTGACTCGGTTTTCTACATGATATTCCTATTCGAATCAATTTAAGAGAAATTAATTTCGATTGAACAAGAATGCTCACCATTAACTACGGAAATCATAACAAACATACCAAGGATAATACACAAAAGAATACTACTTTAGTACGTGATCTCGTGAAAAAAAGAATAGTTGGAATTGCCAATCAATGTCGAAATATTTTCCACCAATGCACTTTGGTGAGACTGATTTTTAAGAACACATTTTTATAATAAATAAAGAAAAAAACTAACATTGAACATT